TAATATATCTGATATACTTAATATACTTATTATATAAAATAAATCTAATTATCTTTTCTTTATTTATCTATCTTTTGTATTACTATTTTTACCTTTAACAATGTAATATTTAATAATAATAATATTTTAAGTAATTAAAAAATAAAATAGTAATATACAATATATTATAGAATTAAAATATAATTTTATTAACTTCAGATTTATAATAATTTCTATTTTTTAATTTTTTATTATATCATAATTATAAATAGTATTGATAATTTGTTTAAAGATTTTTTAATTAAGTTATATTTATCATATTTAAACTATTTAAATTATACTTTTTTTACAAAATTTTAAACTAAAGTTATTACTACAATTTTTTTTCTAAAAAAAAAACAAAATTCTTTTTTAGTAATATATTATATTGACTAATTTTTAAACCATGATTATAAATATAAAAAATATATAAAATAGTAATAATAATATTAAATAAAAAAATTGAAAATTTTAAATTATCGAATTTTGTAACATCAATTATCATTGTTATTGTGATTGAAATATAAATAATATACTTAAAATATATTTATTATTTTGCAAATACTTTATATATATTTTTTCAATTTACAATATGCTGTATAATAAAATATGATAACAAATAAATCCCATTAGATGATAATATATATATATATTATTTTCCTTCGCTTTGCTTCGGACAAGATTATTAACATATATATATATTTAATTAATTAACAATAATTAATTAATAAAAAAAATAAAATAAAATAATCAACTTATTAGCTTCGGACTTACAATGGTTTCCCATTTCCTAGTATATAATAATTATCACGTATATAATGAAAAAAAAAAAAATCAAACAATAAACCGTGATAATAATTTTTTTTTGGATTATATCATTGATTATGAATAGGATATTTACAGTATTACTTTAATTTCGTAATTTTAATATAACGTATTTAGATAATGAATAATGAATTTACGAAATAAGTAATTCAATTGTTCACGATAATGCTTACATCTTACGTAAGTAATATATGTGTAGCGTAAATAGTCCAATCACGGGGAAAATGGTTATCATGTGACCTGGAGGCATTATAAATAAGTGCTCAGATCAAAATAGCGACTTTTAAATTTCTCCATAAAAGGCATAAAAGGTAAACTAAAGGTAAATGATATTTTATTCTTCTACAATTTGCAAACCTTTTGTTATTCAGTGGAACAGAATAATTTATCTCTTTCTTGTATGGTAGTTTAACCATAAGTGTCTACTTTCAAGAATCGACATTCACTCTACAACAACTATCGGCATAGCATTAAATAAAAAATTCGAGTTGGCAGATATTTGTATTTGTAAACAATAGTCTTCTAATATGATAGATGAAAAAGGAGCAACTGTTTCCAAGGATCTTGTGGTAAGAAAGATTTATGATGGTTCTTTTAGACCAATAATTGGATTTCTATATATGGGATCGAAAGCATTAGAACCTATGGATAAATTTTTCTCTTCACTTTTTAGCAATCATTTCATCCAGAACCCGTACATATAAAATACATTGATTCTTTGGTAAAATTTGAATTATTTGCATCAACCAACCACTGATTTTTATTTTGTAGAACAAAATTGAAAATGGAACAGCACACAAAAAGATGGACGAATACATGGTAATGTTATTTCACAAATTAAAGATCATATCGATTGTACCATGCGAAGAAAGGATTATAGTAACTTGTATTATTATTTATTTAAACACGCTGATTCACAGGAAGTCGACTGCGATGACGACACAGCCACCATCGCCTCGGAGGATCCCGTTGAAAGTAGGAACAATGATTTTGATGAAATCTTTAATGGAGAATTGTCAGATGTTGATAGTTATTGTCCGGGATGCGAGGAAATAGATCACGAGGACTTGTTATCATCTGCACCAATCCCTTCAGTTGACGTCAGTCACCTTGTTGGCTTTACTAAGCTAAATAAAAAGATCATAGAGTCTCTGATTTACAAGTTAAAGGAGTACAAGCTCTACGAGACGATGGCAATTCTTATTAAAAGTGGTAAATTAAAGATCAAGTCGGAAGAGATACCAAGAAGGGTTCTGGAGATAATCAAACAAGAAGATATCAAAGATTTAAAAGATGTTAAGGAAGTGTTTCATAAAGAAGCTGAAAGGATACGAAGATTAGCTGAAGATAAATAAGAATCCAAGCATTGTACAGGTTTTGCTCATGTCATTAATTAATCTCAATAGCTAATTTGATGTTTCATAAACTCACCAGAAATATTTGCTTTTAGTTCACATTCATTACATGACTTGAAACCGAGATTTGGTAATGATCTCTTACCGCATCGACTATAGCATAGTTGTCCTTCATTTTATTATTATTACTTGGGTTAATAAGAATAGGTCTAATTTTTATTAATTATTCCTGCATCACATCACATACGCTTGCGCATGGTTTTTGGAGGGGTTAAATTGTTATTAAAATACTTCTTCGGGCTACTATAAATGCGCGAGTGCCCGATCAATTTCTTTTTTTCTTTAGAGACTTTTTGGACGGGACATTTTGTTTTCTTTAAAAAAAGATTTATTTTATGTACGATAGATACTGAGACACGCTGTATATATTGACATATTTGATAATAATAATTTTTTTTTTCCGAGTATTCAGATTTAGATTTTGTCAAAATAATAATAATAATGTAAACTTAAGATTCGGTCATCTATATTATTAGATAGTCGTGGTTCTTACCGGTTAACTGTAAGATTACTATATTTTTTTCAAAAACAGTTTTTATTTATTTATCGATAGTGAGTGATTATTATTATTATTTATATCAGAATTTTATGTAATGGGCATATGTATGGAAAAATATCATCAATTATTATGGCAATTAACCAATTTTTTTTTTGCATGATTCTTCATGTCTGATCGAACTGGGTTATACTTTTCTGTACTGTAATTTTTTCAACACGGATATCTAACAACATTCCAAATCATACTTTGTTAGCACTATTAAATAGTTTTATATTTTTGAATTAAATGCATTGTCTTGCGTTGTGTGCAAAATCTATTTATAAACATTCGCTATTGTAGTTTTGCTTTTTTAGCATATACAGTATATTATACATAAATTCGCTGTGATATTTGAAAAGAAAATCTTTGCAATTGTGTCGAGAGACTACTAGGTCTTGATAGTTTGATGTCAAATAGCAATCCGACATTGTCAGAGAACGTGTATTTTCCCAATAAGGCATTCATTTTACGCATACAAAATATACACAATAACTGAGTCAATAAGTCTGTCGTGGCTTTGATCAAATTTTATAAAATTTGTAAAAACAAACAAAAAAACGAAATGATAGTTTAAACATTAAATTGGATAAAACATCTACTACACAAAATATAAAATTTTTAATATGCATAAAAGATTATTTTATTTTATTTTGTATGTTTGATACTATTCGATAACCTAAATAAACAATAAAATATTATTAAAATCATTCATATTGTTAGATAAAATCAAATATAAATACTTGCATAATTTAAATAAAAAAAAATTTTTTTTTTTTTTAAATTCATATACCAAAAAATAATAAATATTTTTAATTTAATTTAATTTCCATTTATGACAATTCAATTTTAAGAATGAAGTTTTGAAATTTCTATTTTCGAAGTAAAATTTAACGGTACATCATAGTAATTAATCTTAATTGGAGTTTGTGATGCAAATAATAACCTAATTTGGAACTTCCCGGGGTGATAGATGGCAAGAATAATTTACATCTATTGAAAGGCAGATTATGGCATGTTGTGCATTATAAGCTTTAGGCATAGTATCATTTATAGGAAAAAAAAAAAGCAAGTACTACATTTCAAATATCTAAATTAAAAAGTCTACCATGTTTTATTTTATACTTTTATCCAACGAATTATAGATTATGTTATATACCGGAATTGCGATTGTACTGTGCTGTACTGTAATTGTTGCTACGATGATCTGGTTAACTAATGATTCATTAACTCCACGACAGTCCGAACCACATACAGTATTACATGGTCATACTGTATTAATTAATTTTTTTGTATGGAAGTAAGATATATGAACTCCGATTATCTGAAAAAAAATTGGAGAAACACAATGTGTTGACTGCCGCATTTCCTAATTAGGGGATTGCAGCCTGGCCTGCTTATAAAACCATCTGCATAATTCGCGCGTAGAATATAGTACTGTATTACGTATTGAATCTGAGAGAAACCTATCGATTTCCAAAAGCCACATGTTTTTCTAAAAATTAATTACTGTATCTGTTGTAATCTTTTGAAAATTTAAAATATTACATAGCGCGCATTTAAACCTATCAACCGAAAAGACGAGATTGAGATTGAGTATCATGTGATAAACGTTAAGCAAGCACAACGATATGCATTTTTGTTGGCTTGTGGTACAGATTAATTAATTGTAGTGGAAATCGAGATACAGCATGAAATGTAACTTGGAAACCTTAAAATCACACACGCACATACTAATATAATATGTAATGTATGAGGTGTTTGGCCCCGCTTACATGTTTGGCCCCGCTTACATGTTTATTGCAGTACAACATTACATACGTATTTAGTTGCTGTTCGACATCAAGTAGTTGATTGTTGTAGGAACCAATCGAATACCCAATGAGCTCTGTTTTCGCCGGAAGACAGATGCGCATAAATTCAAATATTGAATCATTAGTTTTGTTTTTGTTTTTTTTTTCACTTACTATTAGTTTAAGTCTAAATAAGGAAAGCAAACAATTCTGCAATCAGACAATTAGGATGGTTCAATCACTCACATTCTAAAGAATATAGATATCGACAAAAATAACAACTCGTGGATTCTCTTTTATCACCGTCGCATGAAGAGATAACGAACGGCAAGACTATACATACATAACAACTCTTTCTTTTCTAGTTATCAACCTTTGCGAGTAATAATAAAGTATCATCCTCCTCAAATAAGAATGGGTAAAATATTTCGTCGGCCGAGCTTAGTGCAAAAACCCGATGCCGCTTTGACAGCGAGTTCATACTATTCGGAGACCGTCAATACAATTTCGGCACAACCACTATCCACAGCGCAACTCCCAAATACCCCATTGAGAAATGACGACCAAACCGTTTCGATAGCAGATAAAACTATAACAAACGATAGTCATAACAAGACACCTATAGCTGAAATTTCTTTGTCTACCACGGATTCATCAGCAAACGACCACAACAACTCTGCCGTAACTTTTGATAGCGAGGTATCAAAACGAAATTCGAAATCAATGTTACGTCGCTCACTTTCGATTCTCTCTCGTAAGGAAGAGAAACAATCTTCTTCATTGTTAAAAGTGCATAGATATACTATTTATGATGATGAGAAAGGAGAATTTATTGAAATCATAGAAGAAGAATGGGAGGGTGATGGCCCTCCGCCTAGAAAATCTACAAGTGACCAGCAAACGAATGCCTTAATGATTGATAAAGATCTCCCGCAACTACCGGAACTAATAGAGAATAACACTCGGGAGGAAACAATGTTTTTAAGGTTTTATAAGTGGTTAGAGGATCGGTACCCGTTCATACTTGAGTTTTCCAAGAAACACAAGAAGACACTGTTGATTTCCTTGGGTCTGTTTTTTTTGTTAATTTTGATCATCATCATCCTCGCTTGCACGCTATAAATCAATTGTTGCCTTCCTGCACGTAAAATGCATTCCCTCACTTTTTGATTTTTCTTTTTGGGATTATTATATGGTACTGTATATGCATGGTGGGTAGCGACATTTGTTTGTCGTATATACGATGTCATAGGAATAGAAACCCATATCTGTGTACCGGTAAGAGGAATACCAAATCGAATATAACCTTGCAAGAGATGAGAAAATACAAGTTTTTTGTAAAAAAAAAAATACATACATATATACATTAATAATTGCGGTTAGAATTAATAAGTTATAGCTTTTCGTGTAAAAAATATTTTATTAGCTATACTTGTGCACTCCAAATCCCTGATCGAGGTGGCGAAACCAAATTTTTGAATCAACTATATTTCATCTTCGTTAAAAAAAAAAATTCTTTTATATTATTATTGTTGTTACTTTTATAGCACGAGTTACAGAATTTGTATGCCGTAAATTTAATATTTTTTTTAAAAAAGAAAGCTAATATAATCACAGCAAAATATATTGATAATTGAAATTGTGTACGTTATAATTTAATCAATATACTGTAGTCTTAAATTAACAGGAAACTTGTACAAGTGTTTTTAAATCAGTTAAAATTTTATTCATCCGGAATATTATACAGAAGCCCAAGTCATTCGTACAATAATCCAATTGATAGTGTGTACAGTCAGTATACCGGTACATGTAAACTCGCACAAGAAATAAAATCAATCGAATATTTAAGTTGAAGTTTGCTCATTATACTTTAACAATTCGAGTAAATTTTTACAAATAATATTATGGGATGTAACAAGATATAACAAGATAATAAAATTTCATTAATATTAACAAATTTGTTTGATTTTTCAAATGCTTTAATTAAATATTTCATCATTTTAACTTGAACAATTAATTTGTTTCATCATTTTATATCTCCCTTTCATTAAATCTATGAAATTATTTAAAACCTTATTGGGGATTTTATTTCATTCTTCTATTATAAATTATTTTAATTCTAAAATATTTTAAAATTATCTTATTTCTATTGTTTTTTTTTAACAATAGTCTAACAATTTTTAATAAAAGTTAAATCTAAATTGTTAAAAAAACAATTTATAACTTTAAAAATTAATAAATATTTTAACAATTTTATTTAAAAATTGATATTCATATCTTTCATTTTTTATATTATAAATATCTTTCATTTTAGATATTATAGTTGTTTCCAGGTAAAAAAAAAGTATTTGTTTATACTTTTACAAATTGGTTTTTTCAAGATAATTAAGTCTTTTTAATATAAGTAATTATATTAGTTATAGAGCTCTTAAAAATAACAAGTCAATTACTTCACTGGTTCAAAGATATTATTTCAATACCATTTTAATACCAGTTTAATACTTAAATTTATTATAAATTAATACTATTTGATATCAGTTTAATATTAGTTTAATATTAGTTTTTTAGAGCTCTAATTAAATATATTAATGTAATTTAAAATAAAATTCTTATCAATTTATATTAAATTTATCTTTAGTTTTAAATTTAATAATTTTATTTTAGTAAGAAAAATATTTTTTTAAAAAGTTGTGACTTGTAATTTTTAATTAATATATTATATATACAGTAAATTGATTGAATTAAGGAAAGTTTCTTTAAAAGTACTTATCAAAGATAACGTTCTGTCAATTATAATAATATCAGATTGTGTAATTCCATTAAATAAATAAGTAATAATATTTAAAATCTATTGATAATCATTTTTTATAAAAATAAAACATGAAAAAAAATAATATAAAAACTTGTTATTTCAATAACAAACTTATTTGTTTTATAAGTACAATTTATAAAGAGTATAGAAAAATATTATTAAATAAAAGCAACAGATTTATTATACTGTATATATAAAAAAATAAGTGTTGCATTTATTATTATTATATTTGTATTTACAGTATATATTATTACTAAAATTTTTGAAAATTTTATTAACTTTTGATAGATACTAGCATATATTATCAACATTTATTAATATTTATTAGTTTCAGTCATATTTTCTATATAATATTTTCTTCTTTTCTCCAAGAATTTCCAAAATGCCTATATAGTTTTAAACAGCGCAGTAAATTCGGAGTGCCGTAACTCAAAAACCAAGTTGCGAATCTTCTTTGATGTTCTAAGCAACTATTTGCGAAAAGACTAGTGAACCAACTTTTATTAAGACTTCAAAAGCATTTATCTTACTAATATTTTTGAGTAATTTCACTTTTTATCTTATAGACAAGAATTTTCTTTGATAATTATCTTAAGTGTAACAAATAATTCTCTAGCCAATTCTTTTGTGTAAATAAATGAACCACACATAAATAATTAGATTAGAAGTGACCAACAATTGACCAAAACATAAAAAGGTTGCAATTTTCCCCAGCTATGAAAAAAAAACAATTATCATAATTATAAAATTGTGAATTTTTGTATTTTCTTTAATTTTCTTTTAATAAAAATATATTTATTCCATATTTTTCTTTATATTTTTCTATTATTTTTCTATTGAAATTCAATATTTATACATTGTTATCTTTTGATTCTAATATCAAGGTAGAGTTGTGAAATTGACTGAAACAATAATTTTGAATTGTTCATATTAATTTATTTAATAGTGTTTGAAACAAAACATATGTTGAATAAATTAAATCATTGAGAATTAAAAATTATTTTTATCAGTAATTTTGAAATTTGTTAAGATAGGAATTGAAAGTGTCAATATATTTGATTGTAAATTTCATCTTCTTTTGATTTTTTTTGATATTTCTTTAAATATTCTTTTTTATTCTTCTTTATTCTGTTCCTATTTTTTTTTATTTTATAGGAACATCCTGTTTATCACAAGTTTAAATTAATACAATTCTCATTTTGCTCTTCAAAGGCAGTAACAATATAAATTATTCTTTTAAAGCTTATTAACTAATATCTAAATTAGTATTTATTCTACCAGATATTATTAATAAAGTTGTTCATATATATTGTAAATATCTCTATTGATTATTAATATTAATTTATTATTTTGTCTAAGAGTTAATATAATTTTTCTGAAATATAAATTTTAAACAATCATTTTTTTAATTCTTTTCAGTTATTATTTAATTAATTTATATAAGAAATTGGATGATCTAATATATTATCTAATTATTAATAATTATGATTTGAGTTACAAACTTTCAAATTTTATAAATTCTTGTATATATTTCCAATAGACAATTATATATATATATTTAATGGATGGCTTATACCTTGTTTATTAGATTTATAGGATGAGTATATACAAATTTGTTTTATACAAATTTACTCTCTATCTATCTAATTAAATTCATTAAGAAATTTGTTCTACTGTGCAGCCTATTGTCAAATACTAATATATACTTGGCTAATTTGTCAAAACACTACCTGTTCCTAAAAATTGTATTTTATGAGTATAGATTGTATTTCAATTGAGCCAGTTTTGTGTGACATATTTAAAAAGCAAGTTGATTTCTAGAATGTATGTTTTGTTTTCTTTTTGTATTTTCTGTTTTTTTTCATATTTTTTTGTCATTTTTGTTTGTCATTGTTTTTTTCCTATTTTGTGAAGTTGATATATCTATATTTCTATCTTTTTTGAAGTTTATTGAGTAAATGATTGTGGATAGCCTTGATGGTTTCTTTGTATATCTCAGGTTATAGGTGTTTTTTATTGTATTGGTTAAGTCATTGATTAATATCTCTCTTGTTATATAGTCTTTAATTTCTTGAGTCTATATTTATTGTTGTTTTCTAATTTCATTGTCTAACTTGTATTCAATTTTCTTTTTTGTTCTTTTACTTACTTCTTCGTTGATTATTTATTTAAGCTTGTAAAGATATCTTCTTTATACTGTTTACATGTCATTACATGTATGTTGGTTTTAATCTATTTGCAGTGTATACATTGGCCATTGATATATGTTTTTGCTAGTTTTTTGTATAAGTTACTTTTGGATAATAGTTTTAGATTCCAGAGTTTGAATTTGAATGATCTAGTATTGTAATTGTGTTGGTTTGTTTCTTTTATTGTAATTTTTTATGGGTGTTTATTAGTCATTGTTTTCTCCTACATAATATTGTTTTTTGTGTTTTCATCTGTTGTTATTAGATTCTGGTTTAACATTCTCCAATTAAGAATGTGTTTTATTTTGATTAGGTTTTTGATTGTTTCTATAGTTGTGTTATTCAGGATTTGTCTATTCCATTCTTGTATCTATTTTGTTTTATTGTTAAGTATTGGTTTGAAATTGATTTTTGATATTGTGAAACCTATAGTGATATCTTTGAATAATTGGTTGGCTTTGTTATTTTCAAGATTGCTGTAAGCTTTGACTTTTTCTAAAGATATATTTATTTTTGTTATTTTATGATATATACTATTATATTGATTAAGTTATTGTTTTTGAATGTTCTTAATATGTGGTAGTTGTTTTGTACCTTGTTAATTGTATTAAGTACTGCTTAATTATCTATACAGATTGTGATTTTGCTGTGTGCTGGTATTGTTAAAAGGAATGTTGTGATGGCTGCTAGTTCTGCTTTGATAGATGATGGAAATTTGCTAATTGTATCTTGAAATAATATATTGGACATTTGTAATATATACCAGCTAAAACCCATTCTAAGATTTATATTCATTAATCCATCTATATATATTATTATGGTTTTGGCCACACTTAACTTGTGTCTTATTTTTGTTAGTTCATTGAAAAAGATTTCTGTTATGTCTATATATTTGTTAATCATTTCTTTGTATAATTTGGTTTGATTATTTTCAAGTTATGGTTGTGGAGAGAAATTTGTTGATTGAAATTTGTCTGTTCTTATGTTATTAATACTTGTTGATGTAATTCTGCTTCAGTGACAAAATTTTTTGTTTGATGTATTTCTTAAGCTTGTTTTACTTTGTGTACTGGAATATTGATAAAGCTGTTTCTGTCTTTGCTAAAGATGCATTCTTCTGG